TAAACATGATTTGAAGCTCAATTCTGTTTTGTTAATGTCACTGATTGCAATTTTTTTCCTATCCAGTAGCACAATACATTGGAATATTCGCAGTTGTTACCATAAATTTAGAGGAAAATTTGAAATCAGAGTTTAATTTGAATCTGAAAAATTGTGCAGGTTTTGGAAATTTCAGTTTGGTCTCTCAAGTTTGATTTTTCAGTTGTAAAATAGCATATTACTCCTAATCTGTCTGTGGATTCAGTGAGTTAAGGTAGTAGATATCCGGTGAATCTCAGTTCTTTTACGTCTTTGCTTCTGTTGTCATCCTGAAAACCATCATCTCATGCTTGTTTTTCTCATTCATCAGGAGTGCCAGTATCCTTATTTCTAGAGGATTCACCTTTCCCGAGTTATCTTTTTATCTTCTCTCATTATTTTCTTTACTGAAATGCACATAGAACTTACCTAGTAGGCACTCTGAAATTTTTTTTAAATTAAAATATAATTATATCACTCTCCTTTATTCCTTTCCTTTCCTACAACTTCTTTATGTTCCCCTCAAATTTCTCACCTCCTCTTCAATTATTATTGCACGCATACACACACATGCATGCAAGTATGTACACAATTTACTGAGTTTATTCAGTGTACATGATTACAGGGCTGAGTACTTGGGATTAGATAACCAATTAGAAGGCTCCTCTCTGGGATAAGACTACTTCTGCTCTTAGCATACCTTAGTTGCCTCTAGTTCTGTATAAAGGGTTAGGCCTGTGAAATGTCTCCCTCCACATTAATTTGTCTATTGGTGTTGTTCAGGTCTTATTTAGGCAGCCATATTGTGGTGTCATAGATGAAGTTTTCCTGTCATTATTAGGAAACAAAATTTTTTTTTAAGACAGGGTTTCACATTGTAGATCAGGCTGGCCTCAGAGAGACTCATATAGCTCTGGGATTAAAGGGATATGTACACTTTGTGGTAATGGTATTCTGAGGCTTACTTTAGCTTGGAGTGTCTTTCTTACTGATGTTGCAAAAATTTTGTTTTTTGTTTTTTGTTTTTTTTTAAGAGACCTTGTTATTTTCATCATTGAAAAATGGTATGTTAATAGAATATTCGACTTATTTAAAAATGTTGTTGTTGCAGTGAGATGGAAGATTTTCGAGGTATAGCAGAAGAGTCATTTCCAAGCTTTTCAGCCAATTCACCACTTGGTAATAGTGAGGTTTTGGAAAATGTCACTCTTTCATCAAATTTTGGTCTGCCCATTGCTGTTTCTACACTTGCCAGGAACAGACCCAGCACTGACAACAGGTAAGACAAATACTTTTTTCAGGTTCACAAACCCTTGATATACTGATAACACAAGAGAGCTGGGTATCGAATGTTAGGGCTTAGATTTCTAGCTCCCTGATGCCTCTCTGGGTAACTGTCATTCTCTTATTTCTTACCCTACTGCTTTTATATGCTTTCCTGTTTCATGTTCAAGACTATGTCTGAAAAGACATCTATGAATTGTGTTTTCTGGTCACACAAGGAGCCTGGTAAACTTTCTCAGCATTTACCTGTGGTCGTGGCTTCAGATCATTGCATCTTTTCATGTGACCATTTCCCTTTCTACTACATTTCAGCCAGCTTCATGCTTTACTGTGTTCGAGTGGCCCCTTTTCTTTGCTAGCCACGTTTATGGAATGCTTCTGTGGTATCATGGATGAATGCTTCTGGATTGAACTGTGGACCTTGTGCATGTCAGGCCAGAGCTTTACCACTCATCTATGTCCCTTGCCCTTGTTATGCCTTCTGAAGTGATGTAGCTTATGTTCAGTTCCTCACATCAGATTTCTTTCTTTGGGGGGGGGGGGGATTGGAGACAGAATTTCTCTGTATAACAGCCCTGGCTGTCTTAGAACTCTGTAGACCAGGCTAGCCTCAAATTTACAGAGATCCACTTGCCTCTGCCTTTGGAGTGCTGAGATTAAAGGCCACTCTGCCCTGCCAGATCAAGTTTCTTATTCTTGGGAACCAAACCAGCTTCTTAGTTTAGTTTTTTATTTTTCTCACTCTAGTTTTACAACTGAATACATGTTTGACTAAATAAATTTTATTTATACTACTCTAGATGTGATGTATGTAATTTTCACACATGATTTCCTGTATGGTCTGGACAGTGAGTAAAATATGACCATGCTTACGTATTTGATTTCCATCTCTTTCGAACCTGACCATTTGATGAAGGGCGAAGGGGCTATGGTAACTCTCTAAAAGATAACTTTGAACACTGGGGCTCTTATGTGTTTTTATTTGATGGTGGCTAGTTTTATTATTGTTTAGCCCTATGACATTAGTTAATTTTGAGACAGGTCTCATGTAGACTATGCTGGCCTCAGACTTACTGTAGCTCAGGATGACCTTGAATTTCTGGTCTTCCTATGGAACTATAAGCTGCTCTCAAGCCAAGAGTAGAAGGGTTAGGGATCAAACCCAGGGTTTTGTGCATTTACGTAAGCACTCTACCAAAAAAACAAAATAAAACCCCAAAATAAAATAAAACAAAACTATCTTTAACAAGGTGAGTTTTAATTGTAAATAATTTAAATCTTAACAATTTTGTATAGGTGTCTTGATGTCCAGGAGTCATACTTAATTGAAAGAAGGCTTTCAGTTCCTTTTGTCTCATCTCCCAGTTGCCAGAGTGACAACACTGAACCAAGAGAGAAATTACAACTCAGCTTTCAGGGTGATGAGTAAGTTCTTGCCTTCATTTGCACTCTGGCAAAGCTATCTTAGTCTTGGGGAAAAAGAATGACTTTGTCTTTGTTGACTACTACTTAGCATCTGTAAGACCCTTCCTTTACATCTTTTAATTACATCTTTTGCCTTTACATTTGTTTTTCTGACTGCAAATGAAACACAGTCATTGAGAAAAGTAAAAAATATAGGCGGTTATTAGGAAGGTCACCAAGGTCTATTATTTGTTACCTAAATAAGAGACACTGGTTATATTTTTGCTTTTTCCCTCCCTCCCTCCCTTGATTCTTCCCTTCCTTTCTATTTCTTTTTTTGATTCTTTTCGAGGAGGGTTTTTCTGTGTAGCCCAGGCTGGCCTTGAACTCACAGAGATCTGCCTGCCTCTGCCTCCTGAGTTCTGGGATTAAAGGCGTGTGCCATCACTGCCTGGTGAGTGTGCTTTGGTTTAAGCTGGAGGTATGTATAAAGGGATGGAGGATAAATCAGAAGTAAATTGTAGTTAGGACAAAGGTGTGTAGAAGCACATAAGGGCTCTTAACTTTTTAACTTAAAGCTTAATGTTTCTGTGTTCTTTTTGTTGGTCATTTGTTGATACCCTGACTCAGTTTAAACTTGGCCCTTGGTCACTATCATGGTGTGTTTGTTGCACTTGGGGATTTTTCCCTGTGGGTCTTTCTGTACTTTCCTACCATGGTGAGTTGCTGTAGACCCCAAGCTAGAAGTAGGTTGGAACAAAAATTACTGTTTGCATGAAGTATTTCATCTGCATGCAAAATTGTAGAAGCAGATAGAAAGTTAGGTATGAGAATAGAGGTAGGAATAGAATTAAACTTATGAAACCTGTATTTCCCAGGCATGGTGGCATACTATGATTCCACACTATAGTTTGTGGAATCATAGTATGGAAGTATTAGCAGGAGTATCAGAAGTCCAGGCCAGCCAGGTCTGCATGCAAATTCCAGGGCAAACAAGAATCCAGTGAGACTCTTTATCATAACAAAAAACAGAACAACTACAGAACCTTTATTAATTGAGAGATTTTGCTATTTTTTACATGCATACTATTAGTATCTATAACTCAGTTGTAGAAAGCTGGGCTTTTTTTTTCTTGGTGTATTTATGTGGTAGAGAAAAAAGTTTTTCTCTGCAGAGGCAGAGTAGCAGAGAGATACTCAGTTTGGATCTGGTGGACTGTGCGCCACAGGGCCCAGCATGCCAATCTCATCGCCAGAGTGCATTTCTAGTTGCATTTTCAGGCAAGACTCAGTTTGCATCTCACTATTTATATCTACTTTACTTTTTGAAAGGAAAACTGATTAATAGACATTCTATAGATTTACCTAAGGTAATTAACATTTTGTTATAATTCTACCCCTCCAAAATTTCTGCCTCAAGGAAAAAGAACTACATAGAAAGTGCACATGTGCCACTTGCTCTCATGGCACCAAGAACAGAAGAAAAGCAAGCTAACACTACAACATCCAATCAGTGTCAGCCTCTTTTGGATGAAATTTCCCCTCTGGAACAAGTACCAGGTAGGATGTGTTAGAAATTATTTGGTGTATACATTTTAATAATTTTAATTTCTCTGTCCTTTGCTTGTTGATATCAGTCTTATGTTTCTGTCCTGTGATAAACATGGATCTCCATTCCCCTGGAAACTATGCTGTTGATAGGTTTAGCGTGATTATGTTTAGAATAAAGTGTATTGCTGGTCCTCTTCAGTTTTCCTGCTACCAACATAAACTTATTTTTGTATTAACTTCCTCGATGAATTAGGAATTCTGAAATAAACTATTGTTTCTAAGACAGTCAAGTTTATACTCTTGAAATACTCAAAGGTGAGTCATTTAAAAATTTTAAAATTTATTTAATGATGTAATTATTTTATTATTTTAAAAAAAATTCTTTATTTTTTTTATATATTATATCCCAACCAGTTTCCCTTCCCTCTTTACAAATTTATTTTAAAGTAGATATTAAAATGTATACATGATGGTAGAAATGGAAAATTCTGGCTGGATGTGGTGGTACACATCTTTAATCCCAGTATGAGGAAACAGAGGCTGGGGAATCTCTGCATTTGATGCTCTGTGAGTCTATAGAGCGAGTTCCAGAACAGCCAGGACTACATAGTGAGGCACTGTCTCAGAAAACAACAGATCCCCCCCCCCAAAAAAAAGATGAAGGAAAATGGTGTAGCTGCTTTTCAAATCACTTTGTCAGTATTCAAAACGTTGCAATAGACTCAGCAGATATAGTAATCAAACTTTATTTTTACAAATGCCTGGTTTCTGTGACATTGGTCCATGTTTGTCTGGTTACATTCCTGTGGTTCTGTCCTTATGACTGGTGGTGGGAGTACATGGTAGAGCCAAACCTCTGACAGGTCAGGGAGCTTGACGGTCAGACTCGGGCTCACACATGCTTAGCAAACACTAACCATGGAGCTGTATTCCAGTACTCTTATTTATCATGATTGTCTCTGACACTGTAAAGTTTCAGGTGTTATTTTCTTCTATATATTTTAGACTGCATCTCTAAATGTACTAACCTTTTCTTGTATGGTCGTAGTGCTATTATCAGTTGGTAAACTTAAATCTTGCCTTATGCTCTAGCCTGGCAGCCCCTATTGATGTGCTTGATTGAGGTCTGAAGAATATTTGTTTGCCCAGGCTTGTTGAAATAAGGGAGGCCTGTCATTTATAGCTTATTTCTGTATTTGAACTTGTCTGTTAGTTTATGTGGGTGTCATTTCTCTCCCCTTTACTAAACTTTTTTTACAAAAATATTAGTTGTGGACAGAAGTTTTCTGTCTCTCCCAGTCCCACAGCCGTGTAGTCCCAAATAAAGACACAGAGGCTTATACTAATTCTAAACTGTTTAGCTGATGACTGAGGCTTCTTAATGGCTAGCTTTTTCTTTCTCTTTCTTTCTTTCTTTCTTTCTTTTTTTTTTTTTAAAGATTTTATTTATTATGTGTACAACATTCCGATTCCATGTATATCTGCAAAGCAGAAGAGGGCACCAGATCTCATAACGGGTGGTTGTGAGCTGCCGTGTGGTTGCTGGGAATTGAACTCAGGACCTCTGGAAGAGCAGTCAGCGCTCTTAACCTCCGAGCCATCTCTTCAGCCCATGGCTAGCTTTTTCTTAATTATTAACCCATTTCTATTAATCTGTGTATCTCCACATGGTCTTGGTTTACTGGTGATGCCCGGGCCTCTTTCTTCCTTGGCAGCTACATGGTGTCTCTCTCTAGACACATTCTCTTGAGTTCCTCTTCCCAGAATTCTCCTAGTCTGGTAGCCCTGCCTGTCCATTCATGAGCCAATAAGAGAAACATATATTCACAGCATATAGAAGGACATCCCTCATCAATTAGTTTTACATATGATTAGATTGATATTCAAATTTCATGGCATGTGTATAATTTTATGACATCCCATCTTAATAGTTTTAAAAGTTTAGCTGGTAAATGACAGATTCCTGTATTATCATCTGAATATGCTTCTATTCTGTTTCAAAATTTGAAAAATAAAATGTTCACTTCATTTATTTATTGCTGCTGGGCGTTGGTGACTCATGTCTTTAGTCCCAGCACTCTCGAGGCAGAGGCAGGTAGATCTCTGTGAGTTCAAGGCCAGCCTGGTCTCCAGAGCGAGTGCTAGGATAGGCTCCAAAGCTACACAGAGAAACCCTGTCTGGAAAAACCAAAAAAAAAAAAAAAAAGAAACCCTGTCTCGAAACCACCCCCTTCCAAAAAAAAAAATAATTTTTTTGTTGCTTATAATTGTGTTGAAAAATAATCTGACCCCTCAATTTTTGTTGTTTTCTAAATAGACTCAGCTCTTGATTTTCACTTAAAATCATGGATGAATAATCAAGAACACAAGGTAAATTTTTATATACTTGTTATTAATGTCTGGAGTGCTGTAATGGCGTAGCAGTTCATGTTGAGCGCTCTCTCTCTCTCTCTCTCTCTCTCTCCTCTCTCTCTCTCTCTCACACACACACACACACACACACACACAAAAGCTTGTACATAACAGAACTTTTGTAGTAAAATTGGAAATTTAGCAGTGTTTGGTGGTGGTCTATCTCTATGTTCCTAGCACTTGGGAGACTGTCTGGGAGGATTGCCATGTGTTTGGGGCCAGCTTGGGAAGTCTCTGTCCTGGTTCCTTTCCCTGTTGCTAATAAAACACTCTAATGGAAATATGGGAGAAAGAGTTTATATTAGCTCACAATTCCATGTTATAACCCATTATAATTGGGAATTTATAGCAGCAGGAGCTTGAGTGGGCTGCTTATATGAAATCATATTCAGGAACAGAGAACAATGAATGTGTGCATGCCCAGGTTTAGATTCCTTTCTCTACTCCTTTTTTTGGTCATTGTTTTTTTTTGTTGTTGTTGTTGAGACAAGGTCTCTCTGTAGTCCTGGCTGTCTTGGAACATGATATATAGAGGAGGTTGGCCTTGAACTCACAGAGAGATCTGCCTGCCTTTGCTTCCTATGTGTTGGCATTGGTGGCTGCCACATCCAGCTTTTTTTTTTTTTTAGACAGGAATTCTCTGTGAAACAGTTCTGGCTATCCTGACCTCACTCTGTACACCAGGCTGGCCTCAAACTCACAGAGATGCCTGTGCCTCCTGAGTGCTTGAATTAAAGGTGTACGCCACTGCCCGGCTGCATTATTTTTATTCTTATTTCTATTTTTTTATTTAATTTTCAAGCATGAGTTAGAACTGTCTGCTCCTTGACCAGGAGTCTATTCCCTAAGAGGGAATCCAAGGTTGTATACCAGTGGAGAGATGCCAGGCATGGTGGCGCACACCCTTAATCCCAGCTCTTGGGAGGCAGAGGCAGGCGGATCTCTGTGAGTTCGAGACCAGCTTGGTCTACAAGAGCTAGTTCCAGGACAGCCTCCAAAGCCACAGAGAAACCCTGTCTCGAAAAACCAAAAAAAAAAAAAACCAAACCAAAACAAAACAAAAAAACAAAATAAGGGGATTCAAATCAAAAGTAGTTCTCTCTGGATGTAGTGATGCTTGCCTTTGATCCTAGCACTTGGTGTCTGTGTTCAAGACCAGCCTGTTCTACAGCAAGTTCCAAGCCAGACACATAGTGAGACCCTGTTTCAAAAATAAAATAAAATAAAATAAAATAAAATAAAATAAAATAAAAGTTGTTCTGGCACTAGCTTGTGCCTTAGATATTTATTGGATCAGCTGAATCCTGTCTTGTATAAATGTAAAGTCATATCGACATGCAATGTTTTTTTAATTTTAAAATTAGTCTTATTTTGCAATTAACTCTTAAATTATCTGTTGTTTTAATATATATTAACAATTAGTGTGAAAAAAGTGACACCAGGAAGTGTTAAGTTTTCATTCTGGGCCATAACTGATTTTGGTTTGTTGCTCGTGCCCTGTAGTGTTAGCTGGTTCTTAGGTTGGGAGGAAGAGAAATGAGTTGCCCTAAAAAATGATAGGAAAGATTGCTTGGATTAAGATTACTTACTCCAGCTTTCTTAATGCATTCACTCCCCAAAGCAGGCCTTGTATTGCCCAAATTTAGTTGTGTGGTATATTAACTATGTTACTAGATTTGTAAGCTGTGGAGACAGTTTGATAGGGCCCTAGATTTGTAAGCTGTAGAGACCATTTGGTAGGGCCCTACATTTTAAGGTGGGTCCATGCAGAGAAGTAGAGTAGGGCAAGAAGGGAAGTTACTAGTCCATGAAAAGCCCAGAATTGTTCAATGACTGACCTGTATTTTTCACTTATCAACTGGATTGCAGATTAAATACTTGGTCTTTTTTTTGCCTTCTACCATTTGTTTCCTTTTAGATTGTCATGCCTGATGCTAGGAAGCATCTTGAAGACAAGACTCCAAACAGTGATTTCAGCCATATCAGCTTATTAGAAAATGAGAAACTTTTAACACTGACAAACCTGGAAGATTTCTCTGGTACTACAGAATGACTGGTGTTTTCTGCCTTTCCTTTGCCACTTCACTTTTTGTCTGTATTGTAGTATTCATTATACTTTGGATTATTCTCATCCCCCCTTTTTTTCCCTTCTCCCTCCCCCTCCTTTTTTTTTTTTAAAGATTTATTTATTATGTATACAGTGATGTATCCCTGCATGTCAGAAGAGGGCACTGGATCTTATTATGGATGATTGTGAGCCACTATGTGGTTGCAGGGAATTGAACTCAGGACCTCTGGAAGAGCAGCCAATGCTCTTAACCTCTGAGCCATCTCTCCAGCCCTTCCTCCCTTTAACAAAACTCTGTTCACTATTCTGAGTGGCAGGACTAGTTTTTTGTTTGTTTGATTTGAGACAGGGTCTCACTATGTAGGCAGGTCTAGAATTCTGTAGGTAGATCATACTGCCCAGAAACTCACCACTGATCAGCCTTTCTCTGCCTCTTAAGTGTTATAGGTGTGGGCTGCCGCACCTGGCATCATCATCATCATTATTTTTATTTTTACTTTTTTTATTTTTATTTTTTTTATTTTATTTTTTTTTTGGTTTTTTGAGACAGGGTTTCTCTGTGGCTTTGGAGGCTGTCCTGGAACTAGCTCTTGTAGACCAGGCTGGTTTCAAGACCACAGAGATCTGCCTGCCTCTGCCTCCTGAGTGCTGGGACTAAAGGTATGCACCACCACTGCCCGGCTCCCAGCATTATTTTTATTTTTATTTAATTTTTGAGTGACAAGGTCTTGCTGTGTAGCTCTCACTGGCTTTGAGCTCATGATCCTTCTGCTTTACAGATAACTGTCAGTCAACCTCTCTCTCTTGCTCTCTCACTCTTTCTACCTTCTTGTTTTTTTCTCTTCTGCTGTGGTCCTGGGCCTTCTTCATGCTACACACTCTTCCACTGAGTTGTATCCTAACCCCTCCCCCACTTCTCAGATTTCATTATTGAGACAGACTTTAGTGTAGCTGTAACTGTCCTGAAACTTGCACTGTAGGTTGGGGTAGCCTGGAGTTTACAATCATTTTCTGTTCCTGCCTTCTAAGTGCTAGGAATTCATAGGTATACACTACCTCACATGGCTTTATGATAGTTTCTTATGCTAAGCATAAAAACACTGTCATCCACTGCCCAGTTTGTGTTTTACCAGCCTTTGTGATTAAAAATTACGTGTAGTTCAGTTCTTACTGGAAAACCTACCTTATTTTTCATTCTACTTTATCAATAGATGATGATATTAATGATGAAGAATTTTATGATGATCATTTAGAAGCATATTTTGAACAACTGGCTGTTCCAGGGAGGATATATGAAGCAGAAGGACAGGAGTCACCAGAAAATGTTTTTAACTTACCAGTAAGTGATTTCAGTCTAGTATGTCTAGTCTTTTGTTGTTGTTGTTGTTTTGTTTTGTTTTTTTAATTTGTTATTGTAAATTACTGTCTTTCTCCTTAGATTTTTTTTTAATGTTACTGTTTTGTTTTGAGATACAGTTTGATGTGACCACGGTGGCCTCCAGTTTACTGTGGAGCTGAGCATGACCTTGCACAGCTCATCCATCTGCTTCTACTGCCCAGTTGCTAGCATTAGAATTGTGAGCCACTACACTTGGCTCATTTCATGTTAGCATTAAACATAAGCCTGTGCTTTTCTGTGAACTTAAAATTGATGCAAAATTTGATTTCTCTTACTTTGCCCACAAATAAGAAAGTAAAAAAGGAGATTAAGAGTTCCAGCACTCTTGGGAGGCAGAGGCAGAGGCAGGTGGATCTCTGT